CAAGAAGACACACCGCACAACCAATTTTACCGAGTAAATTTAAACGTTCTTTGAGCAATTTTGACGACAACACTGCTCTGAAACTTCATAAAAATAAATCTAATAACTTAATCATTTAATCTAATAATCATGATTCTTTCGATTATATTAAAACTAGTCGGAACAAACTTGTTTACTTATATAAGAATTCAATCTTCCCACCTTAATTGTTTTTCTGCGACAAAAAATAATTTAAGGAAAAAAACTGAAGTAAACTGAATTCCACATCTCTAATAGTTGCGATAAAATTGAATCAAATATGACTGTAACATAAAAGCCCAGGAAATTGCTGATGCTCCATTTTTAAACGTTCCACCCATTATGTTCATTTTTCGACTGCCAAGTTATTCGATCGAATAAGCTCGGTTTAACCATCAGTCCCAGGTTGGTATATTAACTATGATTTAATTAGTTTAATTATATTCAGGGTATTCCATCCTTCTCACTATGCATCATGTATGATAGTTAAATATGCAATTTTGTAATAACTAACCTCAAATATATATAGAGAGAGAGCCAAATTCAACTGACTTAATTTGTTAGTTTAAAATCAGCGGTTAAATGTTTGACAGCATAAGGTTGTTTCGGTTCATAAACTCATATTTCCGTTGTGCGCTATACGCCACTATTAATAGAAAAGGAAACATTTTTTAACAGTCTTAGTATTCTGGGATTTATTTAAAAGTAAAATAAATTATTCTGGAAATTGAATGCAAACTCACGTCACGATGACACTCAATGCGCCAAGTGGCGTTACTAGACTTGCTGGTGCAAAAGCGTATGCTGCAAAATTGCACGCCTCACCAGTACCCACTGCAAAAAAAGGTTTTGAACAAATAAATGATGAATTGCTTTCTATAAAACAAAACTTTATGTAAAAAAAACGAAAAGTTTATTGTATTAACTAATTAGATAGTCGAAAAGATTCTCATCCATAAATGAAACAAATGAAAAAATAAGAGAACTTCCATCGACAAATAAAGTTATTCATCTCATTTTCAAGATACATATTGAACGGATGATTAACATGTGTCTTAGCCCTTCTCTCTTGAAAAAAAACTCACTAGTCAATACGCCGAACCACCACAACCATTCACGTAAATAACCGAAACCGCCTTCAGAAGCACGATGGGTACAATCAACTTGCGCAAGTTTGATCAGTGCTTTTTTCTTGATAATAAATGAACTACCAATAAATAAGGATGACGAAATGGCCAAACTGAGACCAATGTAGAAATCGAGCAATGGATAAGTGGATAAGAAGGAGTAGAAATCTTCTGCGCTACCATTCGCGTTACCATCAATTTCACTTTCCACCGAAAAATTCATCCTGAAATACCATCTTCCTTTCTCTCATGCATGTCTCCTGAAATAGATATATTTTACAAATATGCAACTTTGTTATTTTTCTTCTCCACAGCACATATCAAGAAATGAATAGCAAGAAGAACCAGTAGCTTTCCAGATGTTTAGATGTGTAGAAAAGCCTTTACATGAATCTAATTCAAACTGAATTACAAAAAGAAAATCATGCTTGCAGATGTAAAAGATAAGTGAAAAATGAAATCCAACTGTTAGATAAAAAAACAAAAAATATTAAATAGAAGAAAAAGTTTAGTGTTTCCATAGCAATTATTTTAAAAAAGGGATTTCTTGATAAATGCATTATTTCATAACTTCGAGTAGTAACTACTCTTTGCATAACTATCTTTATTAAAACAAATTTGAGATAGTGCATATGTTGAAATTGTAAATCGTTACTAGAAACATGACAAATCATACACGGTTACCATCAGAAACTCATTAAACCGATATTTAGAGATGGTTTTTTACTATATGATTCAGAAATTACTAGTACTCTGCTCGAAAGCAATAGCATTCTCCTAATTCTCATCAGTAATAGTGGCTAAATTGAGACAGACGATTTATGAGCTTTATCGCCATTAACAATTATCAAATTGAGAAATGAACTGCACCAAAACTGAAAAAGGATTTATCAAAACAACAAATTCTTTTACCTGATCTCAGGAAAGAACTGACTATGCTGGCAAAGACTTTTCTGAGACCGAGAAAGGACTGAAGTAATTTTAAAAAAATCAATAGTTACATACTTAGCATTTCAAAACATATTAGTACTAATCAATCATAATGGAGAATTAAAAAAAAATCTAAGCTGAAAAACATTTCAAAAAAATAAAAATTGATAAAAATGAGAGAAAAGCTTAATGAAAAAACCTCTTCAACCGAAAGAAGTTGAGGTAAGTATCAGTATTACAGAGATACATTTCAAACAAAACCAAAAAAAAAAAAAACATTGATGGAATAAGAAGGGAACACACTACCTGATGGAAAGTACTAATTGAAGCAGTCGCTTTACTTAGGATTTACTGGTAGGTAGTCTGCTATATTCCGTCAAATGTGCAGTCCATTTTAAAATTGAATTTTGAAAAATATGAGCACAGTGATATTTTACATTTGTATGTTTAAAATGTTTCTGATCATTGAATATTAACGAAAAATGAGCTGACATGATTGTAATGAAATAAAGCGCAAGAAGACATCTTTTTCTTTACAAAGTAAATGCACTGCAAAAAAATCTGTATTACTTTTCTAATAGTGAAGTTTGTTAACTTAACTTCAAAAGCCATTAACTTCGAAATCTGTTAACTTCGAAAAAAGTTTGATTTTTGTCGCGTGTTTTACACAGTTTTACAACTCAAAATAATAATTTGCTTGTCCTACTTTTTTAATCAAAACTTAAATACGTCAACTTTCCCCTCACATAAACAACGACTTAATGGTTATGCAGTGGGAATCAAAAGCCTTTTCTATATGTTAAAGAGTAAACAAAATATACTGAAATTACGAAACACATTAAGCTTAAATTTTTCTAGTTATTGAATTAACGAAAAATGAGCTAACATGAAATATGCAGCCTTCTCTGACATTGCTTCCTTTGTTGAACTTTTAAATTTTTTCATAGGTACTGATTGATGAAATATATGTGCATTCATTATTTCTGGTCGTCTTCAGCAAATCGATATCTTGATCTGCAAAAAGTGATTAAATTGATTGATTTTTTCACAATACACAAAGAAACTACATTATCATGATTCAGATTAATAAAAAAACAAGAAAAACATTTTATATCTTTAATCCTTTGGAAAGGTGAGTCTTCACAACAACAACATTTTTCGATTTTAATACTATAAGCTAACTGCACATTCCAACAGTTCAATAATACTGTTGGAATAAGTTTTTTCTTCGCTTAGAATTAAACCAAGGGAAACATCATGTAGGGGAAAAAACAACAATGCAAGCGAATGATAAAAACCATTAACCATAAACAAACAAGAAAATGTTTCAGCAAATAAGAAAATGCGAAAGAGCATATCAAATCTTTAGCAACATTTATAAAATAGAAAAAAAGAACATGAATTTTTACGTCCTCAATTAATGATATGAAATATTTCAAAATAATTAATGGATTTCACACATGATTATTACTTTTTTTTTAATTGTCGCAATGTATTAGCACAACCTGAAAACCTAAGTTGATGATTTTGTGACTTTCTGCTTAGAGCAAACGTAGAACAAGTTCTTCAGCATAACCTTAATTTTCTATATGTTTTGGAAATTAAATTAATTTAATGCACTACTGTTTGCTGATGGATTTCCTGAGGAAAGAAAAGCATTCTTGACGCCTCAGACATTTGATCTGTTAGTAACACTTGATCAGTAACACAATATAATGCTCTGTTCAACCCAGTAAATAAATTTCAAAATCCCGCCTAGCCTAGAAATATATTTACAAAAATTTCTTGAAATTCTTGAAATTTAAATTACAGATTTTGGAAAGCTTTCCCAATCAGCAAATCATAAACTATACGAAAATATTCGAAAACTTCTAAACAAGAAAAAACTAGAAAGAGATAACAGGAAAACAAAACAAATACTTCCATCATTTTATTTTATTTATTTTTTTGAAGAACAATAATCAACCAATTTACTTTCCGTTAAACACTAAATTTACGCTCAAACATTGCTCGTATAATCCATAATTTGATCTTAGGAGTAATAAGGGTAACGAAATGTTGAACATACAGAGCTCTAATTCTAACTTCAATTTTTAAACTATAATACTTCGAAATCCTAAGTACGGATCACTGCTCGGCAGAATTGTTTTTGAAATTTTTTTTTTTTTTTCATTGATAAATGGTCATTTTCAGTAATATTGAGACGAAAAATCCACCCCACTGTCAAAAAATAAGATAAAGTTAATAACAAAATGGAAACAAAAATATGTGGGAAAATAGAACAGTATCGGCTTCAGCATGACTAATCCATTAATGTTGCCCGCATTGGCAACAAAGAAACATCGATGCAGGAAGACGCAAACTTCAAATATTCGCAAATAAGCCATTAGAATTAAACACCTCCCGCTTACAGTAAATTCTCCTCTTGAACCAGTGAGCAACTAAAAATCAAACCAGGAGATAGTATTAGAGAAGCTGATACTCAAAAAACTAATTATTTTCTGTTTAAAAATCATGTTTAAGAGGAACATACTGAACCCTGCATAAATAAGAAAATGTCAGAAGATCGATGTAAAACTTCGGATCGATGATCATTATAGAGCAGTAAATACAATAAGATATCAGCAAAAACCCAGGTTATTCAGATAGAGCCTTTATTTCATATGATTTCCAGCTTCACATGTCGAATCGAAAATATTCCACGAAAGTTCTTTTTTTTTTAAATCAAACATAGTAATTGTCTTCCCCCATCTAAAAAAGTATCTCGTTTAAAAGAAATACAACTTTTTCGATAAAACATTCTGTCACTTTTTTACTCTTCCAATTTCAAAATTTTCATTCACATGAAGTAAAAAATATTTTTTTATCGATGGAACAATATGCTTAAATAACTTTCTGCAAATTCTGCACCAGTACAGCGCAACATTATCGCAATAACATAGCATCTTCTGAATTTTCTTGGTCCACTCCTCCTAAGTGTATTTTCTCAGTTTTTGGAGCAGTTTCCAAAATAGGTGCAAAATCAACAACTTTTTTTTCCATACTGCATAACTTCTCTAAACTTTCCGCTGTTTCCTTCGCCAATAAATCAGCCTGAAACAAAGTCGTTTCATTTAAAATACAGTATTATTAATTTCATTTAAAATACAGTATTAGAAATACAGTATTAGCTTACGAAATTGTCATTAAGATAATAACTCTAAAGCACAAAAGCCCGATGCACTGCACTTCAACAAATATGCAATAGCTGAGACAATTCCAAGTACTTAAATTTTATTTTTTTTTTTTTTTTCAAAATGTACAATGATGCTGGCAAAAAACCAAAACTGCATCTTTAGCTGAAATAAAGGAAAAATGAACACCTTTTGTTTCAATAATTGATCATACATTGGACGATATACTTCAAAATATTGCTTGACACAACCTTGCGCTAATTTCAAAAAGTTATCGATTCCTTCACCAGTCATCGAAGAAACTGAAATAAGTACGAAACAAAATACATTTTCACCTAGAAATCAAAATAATATTTGCTTTTCAAAAAATTTCGGAAGAGATTGCATGCATTGAATCTAAGGCCCTTCGCAGTGTTAAGATCTTTGTTATATCAATTACCTTGGACAATAGGTGTTCATTAAATAAGTCACTTCATGTTTTTATTACCTCTGAAACAATGAATTTAACTCAGTATTCCCAAGTTTTGCTGCGTATTTCAGAACCTTAACGAACCTGAGACAGTGGCCAAGTTTTGGTAGAACTGATCAAGTACAAGACTTAAAGACCTAGTTAAATCGTTCATATATGACGTAGAATTCTGATCCAACGCTTCTTGAAAGCTTTCGAAATCATTCATCCATTTCGTTGCAAATGTTGGCTTTATTATGTCTGCCTACAATTTTTTGCCTTTTTATATCATGATGCATATTTTGTGACAGTGAGCAGAGCGCAGTAAGTCCAGAATAAAATTAATCTAACAACTTAGCAATCCAGCAAAACAGTAAAATGAATAAAATATAAAGTATTAATTTCCTGCCATTATTCATTAGTCCTATCGTCTTACGAAAAATTAATCACTCAACAGTTTAAACAACTGACAACAACACATCTATTAAAAGCAAGCATGAAATAACCTTATTGAAAACAACGATGAATGGAAGCTTTGTACGGTACAGAATTGAGCACGCATAAAGCATATTCGACATGAATGTTGTCGGGTTTGCAACGCGTACCGAATCAATTATAAATGCTACCAATGTTGGAAATGAAGAAGCTAATGAATCGGTAATAATCGACCCAGAAGCCGACCACGTAAAAGCTTCGATCTGACCAGGAGTATCTAACAAGCAATAAGGACACTGTCCCGATCGAGATTTTATGAAGTCTACTATCTGAAACATATAATATTCTTCAGCCATCATCAGTTCCAAACAAAAATTTCTTTAGATTGGAACTAAATAAAATAAAGCAAATAAATAGATTGTACTATGCTCCTTCTAATATTTGGTTCATTATTCTGCTTTCCAGGGCAATTTGTGGTTGTAAGATAAACGTTACTTGCTCAAGTAACCATTTTTCTTGCTCAACGAAATTTTTTTCTCTTTTCAGAAACCTGTGTTATCAAATGAATCGCCGAGAATGAAGAATAGCAGCAATTACTATATTTTGAAATAAAAAAAAAAAAACAAAAACAAACTTGATCAAATTTAGTGCATATAAGATTTAAGCAAGTCATTATAGCACCATTCGGACCTAAGTGATATTCTTTCATCACGTGCTTGTATTTCACTGTGTCTCGAATATCGATATTTGCAGCATACGGAATTGTGGTAACAGCAGGATCCAGATTTATCAAATATGGAGAAATATTTTCTTGACGCAAACGTGCTGCCACACGCTCAAATGATTGAAAAAAATCAACATTTTACATGAAACTATCGATAGATCATGAATTTAACGAAAAAGTTTAACAGGCAGAAACCTTCAAAGAGCAAAAAAACTGGATGGGAACTGTGAAAAGAAAAAAAGAAACCTGAACAAAAGCACTCTTGCCGGATCCTGCCATTCCCAAAACAATAATTGTTGCAGTGCTGTCACCCAAAATACTCTTTGATGATGACGACGACGAAGATGTTTGCATTTCTTTCATCTTAGAAATGGATACAGTACTGGTCAAATGTTTCAAATTCAATGTCCTCTCAACAAGAAATCATGCACTTCTTCTTCTGTTCATTTAAATCTAAATTTTCCATTAAAGGAATGTAGCTAACTGACCAAAACTGTGAATTCTTTCCCTCAAAATAAAAACTTAGGGATGGATGAAATTAAGTGAAAACTGAAGCAGAGTGAAAGCAAAATGTTTTCACTTGATAGACAAACTACTTCCAAACTAATAAGCTAACTCCAGGATTCCGTAAGATGTTGAAAACCTAGTTAGCAGCCGCTTAATTAACCATCTACTCACACACATCGCAACAAACGAGATAAACTCATTTCGCTGTTTCAGTAATGTCTAATGTCATCATCGTTGCCTAATTCTCTCCCATTAAATGATATTTTCAGTGCAGGATAATGGTGAGCAATAATGTCAGACCTACCGGAGTAGTGGACCGAGGTTTCCATTTAGAATTTGAAAGGTGAGCCAGGGAGCGGCAACGGGGTGAGGGAATTGTGGGTGTTGTACGTGTATATGTACGTGTGCGTGTACGTGTACGTGTGCATGTGTGTATATTAGTCGTTCTCGATGTTGTACTTGTGGTAAGTATGTGCAGTTTACAGTGCTGTGGTCTTCCTGAAAGATATGTACCATCTGTAATCTATTTGAAATGAGTGTCGGGTTTATAACGGCTTCGGGGAAAGACATAACGGTAAGCGAAAAGGCACTTCAGAAAGCACGTCACCTATTCGAACTCCTTGACGACGACGATGACAATAACGATTCGATTCGTGCCACTATTGGAAACAGTGGCAATGCTCGCTGTAGCAGTGTGGAAAATAGGTAAAAAGTATAGACAGTTGTAGTGTAGATTAACTTCAGAAATGTGATACAATGGCTGATGTCACTGTCTCACAGCAGATGTAAAGATATCCATAGTCTCGTTCTATTTATCTTCATAATAGGAAGATGACAACACCAGTTTGTAGCATCATTTTGCAGGAGGTCTTAAATAACCGTAACAGTCACATCATTTATTGAGTGGTAATGCATGTCTTCAAGTATTTTCACTTGAGTCGCTGTGTTGCATGAACTATCAATTATCTTAATAATTTCAGTGACTCGTTAACACTTACTTTCCTTTTTAGCGCATTGCGACGAAATTCCAAGCGGATCTCATTAACTTTCAAATCTCCTCTAGTTAAGAATCCACGCCTTGACAACGGTTGATAATTTGTTAATCACCTTTTTTTTTTTTTCGTTTAACTAAGTATTATACATATGACTTTGTCATTCGCGTACCTGTATCTATCTAAATATAAACTTCCGGATGTTCTAGAGCAATATAAATAACTGCTTTCTCTATGAGAATTCGGCAGTTTTAGTGATTCCATTTTATTTTAAGTGTGTTTCCGCTTTATATTTATTGAACTTTTTCAGTTAGCTGTAGTAGTATTTTCAATTCCCCAGTCAAGAAAATTTCAACAGTGTCTGAGCAGTTAACTCCTACAAAACCGAAAAGCAAGTACTAAAAAAAATTGAATGATGAATGATTGAATAATAAAATCTTAGAAACGTTGTCCCATATTATAGTCTTTTTTTTTTTTTGAAATTAAAACATTGTAATAAAAGAGCGATATCAGTGGAAGTTAGGTGAATGCAAGTTCATAGATAATAACAATGTAATTTGGAAATGAATGTTTTAGATTCTGTTTGTGGTAAAGTTGGAAACGTCACTCCGATCAAGTTGTTAACACCGTATTGTAAGAATTGGCGGTTGTGTATCAAAGTTATTTCTGTTGATGAGGTAAATATTTCCTTGCTAACTCAATGCTGTTCTGCTTATTTTGTTTTTCTAGAGAAAATTTGAATTTTCACATGGTATTTACTTTTAGATAACATGTATTCGAGGTCAGCGTATATTCGCGTTTCAAGCAGTGGATGATGGTGGTGTTGAAATTCGTGTCTGTGCTTTTGGTGACATTGCACATAGAACTGCTGCTCTGATTTGTCCGGAACAAGTGGGTTGATAACAATTTTTAAGTTTTAAATATTCAAATTCTTTTGAAATGTTAGTTTATAAAAAACATTTTAGATGTATTATATTACGCATGCATCGGTGAAAATGGCAAACAAAAGATATAGCCGTAATCAGCACGATATGGAAGTTGTACTTCGACCAGATAGTGAGGTGTCGTATAGTTTTAGTGTTTAAGTTTCATAACAAGGAATATTGTTATCTAATGCAAATTTCTGTTTTCTCTGTCTTTTAGGCCTAAGCCTAAGCATATATGTTTTAGGATATTTTTTAGGTTACAAAATGCACAGATCGGCCTCAAATATTATCGCCTAAAGTAAATTTCGAGTTTGTGCGTATTCACAATTTACAAAGTTTTATCGACACAGAAATAGGTTTGTATTAATGAAACTGATGTGTTAACTTCATGTAATGAGGAACAAATTTTACTTCATTTTACTCTCTCATTTTAGTCTCACTCTAATGATGAGATCTGCTAGGAAAGCAATATTTATGAAAGTAATTAACCGATTTTCCAAAATATAGAAAGTTTTGGTGCTTGCGAAGGTTTTCTCATGAACAAAGAAAGACTAAATAACATAACTGAAGATGTACTGGGAACTGTGATCCACATTGGTGAAATGAAGCAGCTGAAATCAAAAACTGGAGAAGATCTGCAAAAACGTGAAATACAAATCGTTGATGATAGTGGTTACTATGTTACTGTAAATCTGTGGGGACAGAAAGCAAAAATTTTCCCGAGTGAACAATATCAGCATGTACTGGCTGTCAAGGGGTTGCTTGTGCGTTGTTTTCAAGGTTATTTTTTAACTTTAAAGAAGTAATCAGACGTAGACGCCCAATTCCTTGCAATTTTGTTGAGGTTTCAGGAACGATATCTTTAGTTTCAATGACCTCTACTAAATTGTTACACGATCCACATTTTCCGGAAGCCGATGCGCTTCAGTTTTGGTACAGTAAGAACAAAGACAAAGCTTTCAAATCTGCATCAGTAAATCAGGTTTCATCATGTAAGTTTGTTGTTTGCAATAGGGACTTTTAAATAATGGTTCGTTAAAAAAACATTCTTGAACAATTTTCATACTCTCAGATTTTGTGTACATATTATTAATACTGAAACGTTTGATCGCAACGAAATGTAAAATTGTGTCAGCGATTATTATCTTAGATATTTGATTTTTTTAGTTAAGGAACACCGATGGATCAAGCAACTAAAATTCTCAGTAGATGGTCATTTTTTCAACTTAACTGCTATGATTTCTTCTATTTTTATAGAAAATGCAGTCTATAAGGTGCTCTTTTTTTTTTCAAAAAAACTGCTTATTTCATTCGAAAAGACTTCAACTTCTAAAACTGTTTTATGTGTCGAGAAATGTAATTTAGTGCTACAAAACTTTTTAGGGTTGCTTGACTTGTAAGAAAAAGTTATTGGTCGAAAAGGATGGCGATCTGTACATATGTTCAAAATGTGGTATTTGCAACGAGTACAAATATTATTACACTCTACACGTAAGTATTGAACTAATGAAAGGTTTTGGAATTTCGCTCGGAAACAATGGGCACCTCGAAATTTCTAGTAGATATTCATTGCTTACAAGTTTCTGTTATTACCGTCTTTTTTTTATCGTGATTACCAGTTACATCACTACTTTATTATTACTTGGTCTGATCATCGCATGGTTCGGATGCAAACAATTAGATCGAAAAAAAATGGCTCGTCCTTATTTGCTATATTAAGTTGTTTTTAAAGCTTTGAGGAATTCGGTGGAAAAGAATTTTCTAGTTCGATCGTCCTTAAACTCTGTTTATCAAAATCTTTCATTTAAATGCTAGCGACTGTGGGAATTCCACTAAGTGCATTTTTCAGATGGAATTATTCGATTTTACGGGAACTGTTCATGTGACTGCATTTGATGATTGTGCACAGAAACTGATAGGAGAACAGGCGGATGAAGTTGCTAAATTGTTGATATTTGACAGAGACCGATACCAATCATCTTTCAAAAGTGTGCTTTTCAAACCGTATATGTTTCGACTTGGTGCACAAAGGAGAGGAAATACTGACTGCTCGACCGCTTCAGCTAAAACAAAGCAAGTTTATTTTTGGTCGGTGAAGGATGTGATTACGATGCCTTTCGATAGCTATTGTACATTTTTAGAACGTACCATTGAACATATGAGCAGTGGAATATTTATAGAAAAGTGATTGGGGAGGGGGGTTTGTTACCGCATGTTATCATTTTATTTTTCTATTACAAATATGAGAAGTTAGTGATATTACTTTATTGTCGTTTTAGAGAAAAAAAGAAATATGTTCAAATATATATTGATATCTGATGAAAAGTAATTCATTTTTATAGCGGTCTGAAAATTTCAGTTTAAAACTTGTCTTTCATTCCTATCGGTCATGAGTACTTGTTAAGTTCTGAAAAAAATAGATTGAATTTTGTTCAAAAATAGTATATAGCTGATTCTGTTTGTATATTGAAAGAAAAGTTTTGGTTATTTTTCCCTTATTTTTATTTTCAGCGCAGCATAGCGATCTAAGATTGTACAGTTATTTGTGAAAAGAAGGGTAAAAGCAAAATGCTCTTCCAATATATATATATATATATATAGAGAGAGAGAGAGAGAGAGAGAGCAAAATGCTTTTTTTTAAAAAACATGTATACATAATGTTTGCTTTTGATCCAGTGTTTCTCATGAATTTGTTATTGTTGAGAGTATGTTTTTTTCACTGTGTTTAATGATAAATTGTCAGCAAAAATCCGACCTCGTGTTTGGCAGTATCATATATAATAATATGAAGGAATATTCCAAAGGTTTTGTTTATACGACTTTGTCTTAGTTTTCCATAAAATGTCATCTGTACAAAGAACTTTCCACAAAATGACATTTTAACAAGGATGTGAAATGAGTTAATTGTAATAGCCAGTTCCATATCTTTGCTTTTTAGTTCAATGCTAATGATAATATGTCAGAGTTTCTTATTCATAACTGATAAGGGAGGGTGATGTGGTTCATTTAGTTTGAGTTAACCTGAAATTCCCATTCACTTGCAATAGAGCAAAAACGATTTTTGGTTACACTGGACAATTCTTTTTCGCTATGTATGCACTGACCAACTGCTGCGTTGTAGATTTTACGACCCTAAAAGGATATAACATTGTTTAAGGAACTCTGAATTTGAATTTTTCTACTTATCTATTTGAACTGAAGTTTATTCCTATAAAATAATAAAGTACTAATTGTAGAAAATGTAGAATAAATTGTTTCTACATATAATAAAAAATATACAATAAAACAACTCTACTATAAAATAGTAAAGTTGTTTCTTACCGTAAGCGACCATTCTTGATGAGCACCTTGTAAGTGACATTTTAGAATACGTGGCCCCTATAAAGTTTATAATTAAAATAGCTCCATATCTTTGTAGTATGCTGTTTTGTGTTACTAATGCAATTGCATTAATACCAGGGATGAATTACTCCCTCAAAAAGGCCTCGTTTCCCAAAAGATTGTGCATCACTCAAGTTCTATTGCCCTAGATCATATGTTCTATGTCAATAAAGAATATAGAATAAAGAGTTAGCATCTAAGGAAAGCATATTCAATAATAGAGGAAAAGTAAGCGAGATATCACTTTTAATGAGTCGAGACAAAGCGTTGCCGAACCCATGGGACGAAGTTCGCCAAGTTTTGTCCAGCGCCAAATTTGATGACGATCTCCTTTGCGACAATACTCCACAACGACACTACTTCCCCTAACCAAACGTCCATTCACTGATTGAGCTGTCAGACATAAGCTTGTGTTGTATAAGATTATCTACAGAATGGATATCGATTTAGAAGTTTTAGAAATCTTAGTTTATTTTTATATGGAAGAAAGCGAATTGATAACAATCTTGCAGTCTTCAATCTTTATAAATCTGAAAATACTGCTTGAATTGCTAGATTGCAGAAATCCTGACATTCTCTAATATTCATTACAGCTTTTTTTCTCTACTTCTCATTAGTGACTATTTTCATTACAACTATTCTGGGCATCAGTTCTGTTATTTTTCTCTTGATTTAACATTCTCAAAGATGCTTCTATAATTTTGGAAAAAATCTTGATCTTTATAAATGTTTAAATCTTACGTGATATCTTGCGATATTTCTACTTCGTAGCATATCAGATTTCTTTAGATCGATCATCGTTGGGTGGTTGTTCGGCAGTAATTCTGGATAAATATTTTGAAGATACCATAAAAACGGTTTACAGTGCAGTTTCCTGCGTAATTCTTTCATTTCCCTTATATCGCCTATATTGATCCCTCGCAGATTTGGCTTGGCTGCATAAAATTGGTCCTGTAGAATCGTCTTTTGCATGGATACAGTAAATATTGTTTTTATTCATTCAGAAGCAATGTGGAACAAGCGCCAAGTTTGGTTAAGAAGGTAGCTTATTGGAAAATATAAGTTTAATAGTGATACAGATGAAGTACACCTTTATTTTTACCCATCTATAAAAATTGCCTAGATCAAGAGCCTGTAATCAACAGCCCATATACTATAATCTTGTAGCGATTAAAAAGAGAAGCAGCAAATAGTAGAAAAAATAACTGAAAAGCGTTTTATCCTTTATTCCCCAAAGAGATAAACATGATTAGTATATGTAATGTACTTACAAGACATACAAATGAAAGACATTAAGCCCTAAGATGAGCGCTAAATCTTGAATTATTATAAAGGAAACATACAATATAAAGAAAATACATACAATATATTCATCGAGCCAGATATTGGCAGTACGAGCTGCATTCCGGCCCATTGAATCAATTCCGAGTCCATATGGACGCCGTTGACGAAATATGTGGCCAACTCTGCTACATGGCACAATTTCCAAGCGGCCGCCACACATCCAAATCTGTAAAGATCTATGAAATACGATCTAATTAAATCCACTGCCACCGGACAGTGTGTTTAATCATCAAAAACACCCACTTCCAGAAAATCTCAATGATCATCCCATCAAACATGCAGTTAAAGTCATGAGGTCCCTGAAATTCAACTTAATGAATATTCTAACGGATACTGGCATAATTCTTACTCTTAAAGAAATTTCTACATTTTCTGCTCCCCAAATTTCCATTCCTGGATCATATTGCCCAAGCATATTAAAATATTTCTTGTCAATGGCAAATAAACCACCAGCCATTGTTGGTGATTTCACCGGGCGCACATACTGTTTAGGTTCATCAAAGTATAGTGGTGGGAAATAATCCCACTTAAATGCCAATGACCATGACATGCCCCCTTTGCATACTGGCGATTCGATATACTTCAAAGTGTCCGCATCAATGATGTCGATAACCGGACAGACAACTCTATAATATTCAAAAAGAAATTATTTTTAATTCCTGGGATACTGAACTTTTTTCCATACTTTTACTTTACAAAGCGATCCAATATTTTGAACTTTTTTCCATAATTTTACTTTACAAAGTGATCCAATATATAGAAACAACTAAACAGATAGAACGTAGCTGTCGGTTTGCTGAGAAAATCGAGGTGATTTCATAATATGTCAAAACAATTTAAGTCTATTAAATAGAAATTTATAGGATAAAGGTTATCTTATTCATCGAATATTTCATTTAAACTTTGTCGTGATTCATCACCAAATACTTCCAAATTGCAATTAATCTTGTGTGCATTGATGAAATGCTGTAAAGATATTATTATATCTGATAATCTATCCGCTTATCTAAAAGTTCCCTGTTGGAAACTAACGCTCACTACATAAGAAGTAAACTTGACTGTCCGAGGTCAGTTTTTTTATTAGCCTTCAATTCGACTCATCTCAGTACTCCTGCTCACCAAGTAATTTGTGACCTAAGGCTAGTTCCACGTAGTTTTTCTATTATAAGCTGTCTGTGGTATAATTTGGTATTATTTAATAATCCTCACAACGTCGAGCAATAAAAAATAAGAATAACCACGATAATTTTTTATCTTTTTATTTTTATTTAACCATTCATTTGCATTATCCAACCAACTACAAGGACTTCGTCATTAGCCAAACAATTTCCCGAAACGCTTGCATTCGAGCTAACAAAATCGAGTCACTACACAAAATGATTTGGTGAATATTAATTGGAAAGTTGAAAGGAAATGAAATGAAGGAAAATATAAACAGTTTCAGTAGTTTAAGCAGAGAAAAGTAAAGAGATCAAATAATATATCTAATTAATTTACGCTTATCATAATGATAAAGCAAGAATCATTTCGATTACCCGTATGTTTCGAGTGAATCCTAAAACTAACGTGTGCCTATCAGCAACGATTCGATCCAGCAGTGGTTCGAGCCATCGTTCATTCACTTCGCAATGACTATCCAGAAACACCAGTACCTCACCTGTAGCATGTTGAGCTCCAAATATTTTTGCTCGGATCAATCCCTCATTCTTTTCAGTATTCAACATTTTCACTATGTCACTGTTCCAGTTCTCATGAGCATATGCGCGTACCGCAACATCAGATGCATTGTCTGAAAATAGTTTCTATAAGGGCAAATAAATTTACGCAATAGATCTAAAGTGACTATTCAGGACATATTTAAATAAGATCCTACAAATCTCTACACTTATTACTCTCCAAACATTCATTTACGGCTTATTTATTTCATGTACTACTAATTCATATAAACTACATATGCAATATTATCCCCAGAAATTAAAAAAACTTGAACAAACCAAGATCGCTGTAGTCATTCACTAGTAATATTTCATTAATCAAATTTGATGGCGTTCTATCCAGAATACTATTAACCATGCGAATCAAAGCAGATGAAGCTTCATTATAATAACAGATGATAATACTTGCTGCTGGTAATTCTTCCGAATAGCTTTCATTTAAGCATCTGAAAAATTAAGCAGCACCAGGTACCCAAAAATTCAAATCAATTCTTTAAATAAATAAATTTCAAAATGAACACATGTCGTCGCTAATAAAACAAGCTATCGTTTCGATAAATTAAATTGGAAATAGCAATGCATCCGCAATGTAAAGTAGGGTGTATAAAATGGCAATATAAATTTTTACAATAAAACGTCATCAATCCATTAATAATTTGTGTCATATATTATAGCTATAATAATTCGAACGTTGTAAAATGGATTCTAGTCACAATAATTCGAACACCGCAAAATTCCAAAAACGAAAACATGGTCCGAGTTGTTACCAAATATTACAAATACATCAATACTCACAAGTAATGTCGTGTGTCCGGAATTTTTCGCCGTGGTCCGATTCTGCTGCTCAGAAATTCATTGAACGCATATTTGGCGTAACTTATTTCGCGCTGTTTCTAAAAGTTTTGCGAAATTTGTTCAAAAAAATTCCACTGAGCCAGTCCGTGAACAAGCAATGTGCAAGTAATGTTTGATATATATCAGCAATAACCAGATACTTAAAGGACAATGAAAAAAGTTAAGACATCTCAATAAACGAGATGTCTAACTATTACTAACTGGCACATCATGTAGAACTGCACCCTTTAAGATGACAAATGATATCAGAAAGTGGCACGGAAATGTAATGAAATTACCTCTTCCTGCTGATTTTGCACAATGGATAGTTTTTCAAGATCAACTTCCGGTGCGTTATTTAGTGAAAATTGCTCTTCCTGAATTTCTCTTGATATATCATCGTTGTGGTCATTATGAGTTGCGGATAGTATAAGCAGCTGAGAATGATCATCAAAGGCTGGATGAACTGATGCATGATATCGTTGACGTAAAGCAATGATTCGTGCTTTTGGCTCATCCAATAATCCAAGATAAGCAATCATAATGAATATCCATAGCAGAGATACAGCAACTACTGCCATTATGTAGTTTGTATTCGCCCGCATGATAGACACTTTCTCAGTCTAATCAGCAGTTAACAATTGAAGACTTCACTAGTAGCATTGATCAAAGAGTTGTTGTATCACTTTATCCAAATCATTTTGCTATCGTTATGCCATTCATGAGACTCATTTAACGAAGTTTGATGAAATTACTGAAAAAGAATAGATAGCCCATATCACAGAGCGAAACATATCACAGGTGCTATCACTTCTGGACAATATTACCAGATGTTAATCGCATCTCCAGGATTACTGGCTACAGCCGAGCTTTTCTTCTATTAGGATGCAATTGACGTCAAATACAAACGATTAAACCATCTACCATTTAGATAATGGTCTCGGATTATCTTTTGTTGGCTAGTAATATAGAATGGTTCAATTTAAACTTCTGTTGAGCATTTTGACCATATCTTAACACTTTCCAATCAACCACTGCCGTTCCAGCAATGTAATCAGTGCTCTAAGTCAAATTTTGAAAAACCGTAACTTTATATAGCAGAAATTATTATCTCTTGTCAAGCACTACATTTCCGGTTATTCTACTACTGCTCTGTATTCTTTTTTCTTAGTTTAGACATTCGTGGAATAGAAAAAGTAAAGGGCAAACGAAGCACAGATTGTTCCATATCCTTGAGGAATAATTTTGAGCGAGGGAAAGATTAAGAGAAGTAAATTAGAGAGGAATAGTTAAGCGTTCAACACAACAAGGTGAATTGTTTCGACCGTTCGTAACAGCGAAAGCTGAAGATAGCACAATTTACTTAAATCTTCCTCTTCTAACTCGAATGATAAATTTTCTTATCGCTCCCTACGATAGCGGTAAATGTTTTCTTTTTGAAAGAGAACAAGAGGACAGAGAAGATCGTCATCAACAAATATGAACATTTTTTACAACAAATCCGGTTTGACGAATATCTTACTGTGTGTGAGAGGCATTCGAGCAGAAATTTTCTTTCATATACCCCAGCAGAGATCTTATCTTCCAAATAATTCCAAATAACCTTTTCACAACGTGAAAAGAATGATTTTAAAAAGTAATAATCTCTGTGCTGGAGATTCCTTCATTCTTCCTACTAAGATTTTGTCCAAACATGGGCGAAAATTAATAGTTGGGAAGATTAATCATACGGCTGATTATGATCAAGACATTGGTCAAAAGCTAAATACGACAGAGTGACACATACTTCTATGGCGTAAATCAGTAGCCAATATTAAGAGATGTACAGAAAGTTGAGATCACTAGGAAGGTAGAAATATAGAGATGAAGAAAAATATTTGATGATAATTTCCTGATATGCTACTTATCAATTCCAGTGGGGACGAATGCAACAATCCTGTCCTCACTTCACCATTGATATTTGATAACAGATTCAAAGACCCAAAAATCCTCAAATGCATTTATGAGATAGTCTCAGTTTCATCTAGATTAAGGCCTTCTTATCTTATAAAAATACTGCATAACTTGTTCGGCCCAATAAACACAAAACCAGCAGTTCATTATCTAACACAAATGACTAAATATATGCTTACTACTTCACAGAAACGAGAACTTCCTCTGACAATTTCCCTTCTGCAATACGACGATGAAATTTCTAACTAAATAGAATATGATGACCTTGAAATTGAATGGTTAGATTAGGAAATGAAAGGTCCACTGTTTAAGGAATCCAAAAGGAAAGGACACAAAATTGGTAATTCAGTTGATATTACATGTCATGTTTTTATACTTTCACCAATAAAATGATAACTAAACTAAGTCAAATAGGCTGTGTTAATCAGTTCATTCACGAATTAAACAGAAAATGTGTGAGAAGCATTTTAATATCTTTCTTCTCCGACACGACACACATAAACTTAATGGTCCAAATTAATGGTTCAAAAACTACATTTTTTCCTGTGAAATATGCTAATGATACTTGGAAAATTTTAGTGTGTATTACAAGTTAATTTCATGTCGCATATGTTAAAGGAGAATAAAGCAATCCGTTAACGTATGCATGGAATGTATATGGAAGTGAAGAAGACGAAAAAATTTTAAATCAAATGAATATGCAATAGTCAGCAGTGATAATTATCCTTCATAGCACTAATGTCACCATTGAAAGAAACTGAGAACATACCGAATATCTGTGACAAATGTTGGCATACAAGAAGCTATTACAGAGAGTATATTGAAATCGTATTAAAAAGTAGTCCATAGAGAGGAGCATCAGTGGGGCCATCACAAATATAACATTGAACCAATTTTTATTTGAAGGAGTGTATAAAGCAAATTATGCACAATTTAAGTGCCCTCTTCAGAAAGAGAGAGAGAGAGAAGGAAAGGCTGCAGCAATCTTCAACATGATGAATGTGGGATTAAGTGTGAACTTTTTTAATTGGAATTAAGAAAATTATTAAAACTAAAATAACAAATTCATTTATCATTGAGTAAAAAAAAGATGAATTATCAAAAAAAGAAAGGAACATAATAACTTTTTATTGTAAATAAAAAGTGTAGTTTTAGTTTTAATGGTTTTCTTAATATCTTCAATTCAAAAATTTGTAAATAAGAAAACAAAATAAACCAAAAGGTTGGTATACACTCTCTATTTACAGACAGTGGTTGATATTAAGAAAAAAGTATATAAAATCTTTAAAATTACTGTTACGATAGCTGAACATAAGCTCTAAAAATTAATTAAAAGACAAAACGCCTCTAATATTTAATTTCGAAACTTCAATTATTTATCTTAAGTTAAAGGTTTCAGGAACTTAGAAAAAATCTCCGAAATTTCAAAACAAGCTAAAAGTTAATTATTGACCATCTGTAATTATCTATATTAAAACTATAATTTTAAAATTTCGAGAAAAATCTCCATTGACAAACCTTAAAATTGGCTAGAATGATAGTTAAATGGCACAAATAGCAGAAGAAATATCTTAGACACAGTTTTACTCTTTCTGAAAAATTCGCTTCTCCTTGAGACAATCTGTTTCACAAGTCTGAAATGAGGAGATCCGTAGTACTTGGTTGCAGTTTAAAAAGGCTTTCCGTTTTGTGATTGTTGGGGACGGGAGGGTTCACGAGAGGTCAGAGGGCTTATGACTGCATAGGGAAAGGGGGAAGAGCAACTCGTGATCAGTTGAGTTTCTTCTTGAATAATCATCATCCAGTCTTGTCTGCTTGAAGAAGACCAAATTCGGTAAGTTAAACATGACTTGATCAGACAAGGACAGGTAAGTAATGGATGAAAGAAATTTTATTTTTCCTTGTACTTGGTTATTAAATTTCAACCTTCTTCTTGGCGACATTTCTTCTCCTCACTTCAATTAACTGAATTTTCTTTTGTTGAACAATTCAAGAAAAGGATAAATTTGAGGACATAGTAATATGTGGATGTTTTTATTTGTTTTAGGAAACTAATGATTGCTTGTGCACCGTCACAGGATGTTCTTATATTGTTCTAAAGAGCTTACATGGCGGCTGAAAATGGTCAACTTGAGGAAGTGAGGTAACTGTGTTGATGGTACTTTAACGTAGAATGTTGCTTTTATCATTTATGATAGTTCCACTAACATTTGTCCAGGAAATCATTTTAGGTACATTCATTGTTTATTATGCAATGACAATAAGCCATTCAAAGGTTTTTTGTCACACATTCGAGAAAAGCATGTTAATTATTATCGCTATAAATGTACGAAGTGCGCTTTCAAATCTGATAATGAAGAAGACAGTGCCTTACACTCTTTTGAAAAAAATCATCATGTGAAGGTTAAGTTTCTTCATTAATTTCCAAATGGATGATGCCGTATCAATGACCTTATCATAAATCGATTTTAACAAAAAATTATGAACTCTTTTAATATCTACCCGTGTTCTGATTTCACTTTTTACCTTATGTTATTTTATTTTCCGTAAAGGACTCAATTAAAACTACGAATTTTTAGTTCGATAACGCCAACTACCACGAACATTTGGCAGTTAAGATCTTCCAGGACTGTTGCCGTGAACAATTTGTTATTCGACATGAGATGGAAAAGCATGAAAATTTTATCTCGGAGTGAATTTTAAAACTTTACTGTTGTTTGTATCTACTTCTTTATTGACACCTCCATTGCCATTTCAAGCTTCTGAGTTAAATTCATGACATATTGCAAATAATTCTGATGGGCTTAAATTATTAAAACATTCAGACCGACAAAGAGAAGAAGGAATTGGAATTCGTGTTCAGATATTCAAAAGATTCAAAGCCCAAAAAAATCCAAGTTGAAAACGAATGATACATGTACGTCTAGTTTATTGAAGCATGAAGTAGATTTGCAAGTGATATCGGGAAATCAAAGGAATTCTGGAAACACTACGAATTCAAGAAAATGTTTAAGTAAGTTGATTTCAGAATCTTAGTTATTCTAGAGAGATATATAAAGTTAAAAAAAAAAAAAGTTGCAACTATGGAAATTCTTTTTAGGAAGAAAACATTAATCTTGATAAATTTAGATGATGTGGAAAAACTTGAATCTGGAATTCCTACCACCAAAATTCTTTCTAAAGCTGCTGCTGATGATAGTGAATCCTATAAATTGTCAGAATCTGATAACCAAACACTTTGTGCTTTGGGGCTATTCTCTGACGCTTTGGAAAATACTGAAACTACCAGTTCTGATAAGTTTCTAAACTCCAATGCTGTTAACAATGTTGTTTCGATTGATGGAGAAGTCAGTAAATCTAACAGGAATACTTTTGACCCTAAAAGACGAACAGTAGAGGTACTTTTTAGAGGTATTTTTCTTCCTGTTTTTCTAAGCTACTGCTTTGTAACATCTTTATTTATTCATCTCTTTTATCTGCAACTTGATGGGATTCAAAGCATATGAAATTTAACTGCAGTAGTATATACAGTGGAGTTATAATCTTTAAAAAGAAATAAAAATTGTAGCATTTTGTAGTAACTTTTATTCGGTTCTATTTTTTTAATTATAATTGTTGAAATTTTATTTTTAGAATAGTTCTGTTCCACTGGTTACAACATTGAAACTAAATACTACATGTCGTAAATGCGGAAAGGTTAATATATTTCGCTAATCCATCTTTTATTGATTTCAGCTAAAATTTTCGTGTAAGCAGAGTCGTTTTAGGTAAATGGCGAAACATTAAGCGGAAGTCATTGAATTTATTGAGCAAGGAAAATAATATCTTGTAAATTTTGTTTGGAATATAGTATGAAAAACTCCTTAAAAAAGACGTGAATCGAAATACTGCAAATAAGAAACATGATTATAATATTAAAAGTATTGATCGTCTTTCGAGTAATAGCTTCAGTCAAACAATTGTGAAAGTACCGTTGAAATTTCAGGATGTAGGTGTCGATTACATTGCTAAGAAAACGCATGCTTTGCAATTTCACTTTACTCAAGATGACGATCCAGAAATCGCCGAATTGTTACCAGCTACTGTAAAAGCCTGCTTTCCATACTCTTTATCTTGGAGTGATTATCAGGTAAACCATTCCAAGACCAATAGATACTATTTTCAATAGTTTATTGATATTATTAAAATGACTTGAAGCATAACGGTTGTATGCTAGAGATTTAATATGTTGGCACGGTTGGTTACTAAGTTCCGATGTTCTGAACTTACTACTTGGTGCAAAAAGCGTCGAAATTGTCATATAGTATGCGGAGCGTGATGGACATGAGCAGAAAAATTGTTTAGTATGACCGTATCAGATTAATATATTGTATTGTAGGAAAAATCTAAACAGATATATAAGCAGATCTAATTTGTAGTGCACGGAATGTGGAAAGGCGTTAGGGACACATGGTAGTCGAAGAAATCATGTTTTAAAAGAACATTTTTATTGGTCTGCTATCTGTCCACTTTCTGGTTGTACGACCGTTATCAATGCTGTTGGTAATTTGGAAGAACATTTTAAGGTGCCTTTTTTCTTTACTAATTGATAGAGTTATTTTGTTTTTGTTTTTTGTTTTTTTATGCTTCTTATTTACAGAATAAGAAAAAGGTTTTGGTTATGTAACTAGGAAAAAATAATGTATAGATGTGGAAGATAAAGAACTTATCGCATCTTTTTTTCTTTGTCCCTTAATTAACTGAACCATTTTGTATTTACAGTCTTCTTTAGTTAGAGCATAATATTTCAATGTCGAAAATGCCAAAAGGATTAAGACAAAAGCTCATAAAGATGGAAAATGACCGAAAAAATGATTTACATCGACAGGTTTGTTTTTTCTTGAAACCTCTTTGATTGTTTCTTTATTATAAAAGACAATATTTTTTAGTGAGGTTCGTTTTCAGACATAATAATTTTACTATTTTTACTGTTAAATACTTCTGGCAATGGATTAGAGAGGTGAATATTATTTATGTTTTGTAATAAATCTTTGAAATTTATTTCAGTTGAGTCACTGTTTTCCCTGCTCGTTGCCTCCAAAGAGACAAATTACATCCAAAGAATCAGCATGTGATAGCAAGCATTTACCAAAACCAAGCATTACATCCGTCCTTTCTTCTCTTCTACATTCTGAGCCCATTAATTATGCAAAGAAAAAAAATTTCACTTACTCGTCGTCAGATACCGAATCAAGTTCTGGAGACGATGAAGATGGTTCAGGAATAAAAGACGAAGAGTATTATGTAGTGAATGAAAAAGGTGAAATAAGCATTTCACATAATTTGATTTACGAACTTTGCTTTATGGCATTTTTGTTTCAGTTGGAATACAGCATTTATAAGCAGTATGTACAGGATTTATAGTGTCAAGGACAAAACATTACATTGATGAATAAGAATTTTACAGCATACAGAGTTAATTTTTCCTAAATTTTCTACTGCTGTCTTGAGCAAAACTTGTGAACTTACACAGAATGTTTTACACAATTTACACTTACACAGAATTTCTTCCACAGAATGTTCAAAAAATGTGAGTGATTTGGATTCGAATATTACTTGCGATAATTTTTGTGATCACGAGAAGCGTGGTGATGTAGGAGACAAAGAACAGCCCTGCTCGACAGCATGTCATTCGCGGTGTTTCGAAAGCAGTGAATAGTTTGACTAACATAGTTTAAAAGATGCGAGGTAGAAACATATTTATTGCTAAAAACTGTTCATTATTACAATCCAGGGCGTTTTTTCAAACATTTACTTTTAGTTTTGTTTTAATTTTGAATTATTCTCGCAGTGTATGAGATATTCACGTTTGCCAGTGTTAGATTTTTGAGAATTAGTTCACTTCCAAGCTAACGCTGTCATGTTTCTTGTAAATATAATTACTTTTCTGCACCTTTTTTCCTTCAAATGCAATATTCTCTTCACAACTAAAAAGTAGAAAACGAAAATATTCTTTTACATATAAGGAAAAAGAAAGCTTAATTTCTCTAACTGTTGTCTATACTATCTTCCCAAAAGAGAAGTTAAATTACAGTGCCGTGTTTAACATAAAAGCATGCAATTTCAGTTTGCTAGTTCAGCACCTATTTTTTTTTTAATGACTGCCATTTTTGATACTGATTTATTTTTTAAACTTTTTTTAGGCGTGAAAAATCGGAATTTCATACGTGGAATGTCTTTCGAGAATGTTTTCGAGCAATCGTCGACTTTTACCCAAATTAATTTCTATGAATGTGTTCTTTATGAATGGCAAGGCGGGTAGAAATATGCTAATTTTTTAATCCTATATACAATTTGTCTTTTTGGAAAGATTGACAAATGTTCCTTACCCAAAAAATTAGGGGGTATTTTTATATAATTTGAGTTGTTTTACCTACTTCTAATTTTATATCTTAAATATTGTTTTGATCATCTAACAATCAAACGGTTGGATTGTTCGTTGGAAAGTCAGTATCGTTACCCCGACTGTATTGATCTGATTAAGCAGTTTTTATATATTTATATTTTGTTAAATTGATTAGTCTTCCATAATTACCTCTTTAATGCACATTCGAAATATAGAGAACTTTTTTATATTATGCAAATTTTTACTTTTTTTTTGTTCACTAAAGGCTAAGATTAGCGAATAATTTAATGGCTGTGAGTACGCAAGGTATAATAAGTGTGTAAGCTACCGACACTTTGTAGTGTCCACTAAATCAAGTACATCAGGTAAGCAATGGTTCAAATGGTAACATTTTTTAATTGCTTTTATCATTTTGCATCCATTGATTATCCGTTTGCTTCCAGTCATTTAGATCACGGGGATGGATTTCATTATTCATTAACTTCCTCACTAGTTGAAAGGATTCTTCTGTTGTACTTGATAAAATGTGGTGTCTTTACCGTGAAAGGCTGTAACTCTTGGAGAAATTATAGCAATTGTTAGAGTTAGCAACATGGAGCTTTAAGAAGCTAATCTCATGTCTTGAAACATCGTTCATAATTTCCAAAAATGCATTAAACATGCATTCGGAGTCTATTGATTTTTCGAGATCTCAGAATTGTATTGGTTCAAACATAATCTTTAAGATCGTATTGGTACTCTTTGGATGGCAATAGCTGTATTTTACAATACAGTATTTTAAGGATTATTCTGATAAGAAAAACATTGAGCTTAATCTTGAAGGGATTTTAAGGCTCGCGGTCACTATTTCGTTGGTTTATTTTTTTCATATAAATCATATTTCTAGAATTTTATTCACCTTTGATGCAAACGAATTTTTGAAAGAGCTCTACACAGCATTAAAATATGTTTCGTCACAGACCAGCTTTTGTTATGCAAACATGATATTACTAATATTACAAAAAAATATATTACTAATATATTGGTCTTATTAGACAAACTCCAAGTGCGGAGTGTCTTATCTGGACACTTTCATTATTTTATGGGAGGGGGAGGGTAGGCTAGGCCCTGGCTTAAGGCAATTCCTGCACTTATCATGTCCTAGTGGAAGGTTGTTTGAAATCATTAATGAAACAAATGTCAATGAAGTGCGAGTATAATCATTTCTGCAAGGGATTTTAATCCTATATTAAGTTTTACTAAACAGATTAATATGCGATTCAATTTTCCTTTTTCGTGAAATTATAGAGGGAGACTGATAGATACTTTAGTAAATGCTTAAATGATGGAAATGAAAGGAAAGCCGTTTATCTTCAATATTATTGGATGAAATGATTGAATTGCTGTTGATAAGTGATATTTATATTGTCAAACAATATAGGGTGAGATATATTATTTCATATTTTCTGTTGACATCTTTTTTAAAAAAAAAAATTCTGTAATTGAAATCTCTTTTCTCTTTTTTGAGTCTTATATTTTCCGTGAAGAGAGTTGTAAGGTGGAATGAAATGGCATAATAGAATGCAGAATAAACAATGATAAGTATGAAGATTAGTACAGTGAGGACCGTTGAAACGTTATTATTTTTACAACATAACAAAAGAAGAATGATAATGTTTTAGATTACTACTTTACCTAGCATGGTAGAAGCATTTCAAGTCTTTTCGAATTCAAAATTATTTCTTTCCAACTGCAAGTTCAAATATGACTTCTCTGTTTAGTTTGACTATTTGTAGCAACGCTGCTGCTAATACTGCGAGGTTTATTTTTTATTTACTATTCTGAGCCATTATTTTGACTTTTTGAGTATTTTGAGCCAAAGCAGAGTATTTTGAGTCAGCTGTGGTGCAAAATTTGAAGTTACTAGTTGCATGTTTGGGCTTTTCATGAATTCAGGGATGTTTAAATGTCAGATCGTATTGCAACGAGAGTACGACCACCATGACAAAAGTCTGAATTAACGTGACAGGGAGTGTTTGGTTGAAACTTAAGGGTTGCATTCTTGGCAAGAGGAAGAACTGACGTTTTCATTGTGATACCTTTGCTCGCTTATGTAAAATGATGGAGTAGTGGCAAAGATATTGAAGGATGAGCTCTTTTCGCTGGACATATTAACATTCTCTGTTTTGCCGGTCGTTCCAGTGTTGTTGCTAAAATCGTTATTTAAAAGAATTCACGCATGTGATATGCATGACGCATTTCTTGCAGTAATCAGTATAACGCGTCATCTCAAATATAATTACTAATCCACAGATCAGGCTGGTCCTTTATTCTTTCACATTTTTGTTCTTCATGAATCTTTATTGTTACCATTTTCTTTGTTGCCACATTTCTGTAAGGACTAAAAGAACCAGTCCGGCCGTAAACATTACTCTCAGTATAGCTTTTCTCCATTCTAATCAAGATTCTTTTATTAAAATTCATGAGGACTTAAATTATACTCAACTGTAATCTTTTACTTCTCGTCTCATAATCATTTTCTACCAGCTGTCTCTTTGCTTCTTGTATCAATTCGGCTCATCCATGCTAGAAATCTTTACTTGTCACATGTACAAGCGCGTTATGCTTCCTGAAATAACTCTAACCATTTCCAGACTTATTTTCATAGAATAAGGTGAAGTGGTAACGCAGCGATGATTATAGAAGCACCGGAGGCGCTGCGTACGTGGCTTACCAGAGAAATGGCACCAATGTAAGACTTTTTTCTAATGTTTTTATACTTGATCAAGTTCGTTGGAAGTATTTTAATCATTCTCAGCATTCTAACCATGTGTCATTTTCAGATGTGATGCTGAACCAGCAGCTCTTGCTAAGTATGTACTGGCCCTATTACGTAAGGACAAACCAGAATCAGAGTTGATGGAATTCTGTATTGAACAACTTGACGTTTTCTTGCAAACAAGTGCGATTTTAATATTCTAGTCTTTAATTATCACTTCCATATCCCCTCATTACTCCTTCCCATAGTGAGAAAATAAAACAGTTCTACTCGTAGGTTATGGAACTATGAAATGGAAGTGAGACTCATTGCCCACTTTGTTTTTGTTTAACATCATATAATTGTATACTTCACATCATATAATTGTAACTTTTATCAAAAAAATATTTAGCTTTTTATTAAATAAGTATAACAATATTTTTCTTCAGAAGCAAGATCTTTTGTGGAGAAATTGTTTCGTATCATCAGGGAACGTAGTTACATAACAGCTGCCACAACAACGCTAGTTACCGCTCCTACGCTACAGTCAAAGAATTCTTTTCCAATATGTGAAAAAAAGAAGGATAATGATGAGCGGAAAGAAGTGAAGGAGAAAAGAGAAAGTGTCAAGAGAAAGACTATCACTCAAGGTGACAAAGAAAGGGAACAACAAAAGGTTAAGGTGTTTAACCACTATCCATAATTTCTTTGCTTTCTCAGAAATGAAACATAAACGGAATGTTTTACATGAATTTCCAGACTCGAGATGAGAAGGAAAGTGAGAAGATATCCCTATCTGAAATAGCTCCGGGACCACCTCAGAAAACAGCACGAAGAAGAATCTCTCCTCCAATAGATGTTCCTCAACGTGAAGAATCCCGTCGCGATCATTCAGCAAATCGGTAAATTATAGTGCAAATCACATAATAAGAACGATGATCCTGAGTCTATTTTTGTGAATGGATTAATTGTAAATACTTATGTTTTGTGTTTTCAAGGTTTGAAAGGCGACGTAGCCGGTCACCACGTGAAAGGCGACTGGAACGTGGAGATCGAAACTTAGATCGACGTATGGCACCTCTGCCTGCACGAATGCAGCATTGGCAATCAGACCGATACAAAACTGACCGTCCAGAACGACTAGAACGCAAACGATCTCGTTCACCGCGTTCTCCTTATGAAAGGCAAAGGTATGTTTTCTTATAGGAAGCACTTTTACTAAGTGGCTTAGTCATATATAAATTGTCTTAAAATTCATGAGTTTTTTTGTATTATGAGGTGTAGCTGAGATGCTAACGAACTTATACACAGTCCCTTGCATCCACCGCTCCTTCTGTTGGTTTTTAATAATGTGCTACAGACGCGAAAAAAGTGGTGAGCCAGAAATACGAAAAAAAAAACGTTGTCGTGATTACGATGAAAAAGGATACTGCATGAAGGGAGACCAATGCATTTATGACCATGGACCAGATCCAGTCGTTGTAGATGATATTGCTCTCGAAAAAATGGTAACTAATGGAGCAAAACCTGCTGTGACTCAAATTGCCACCAATTTCTCGGTACCACCACCTGGTTACACACCGCTGAACCCTCCACCTCCTGGTGTTGACAATGTATATGCTACAAATTCAGCCACTGTTGTATCAGCCGCTCTTTCAGAAGGTTTGTTTCTTCAGTTTGCATTTCCTATGCTGCTTTGAATCTTTTAAATTGAAGATAGGATTTACAAATTCGTATTTATAGGATATAATCCTGAGGCTCCAGCACTGAGCGCTTCTTCGTTACCAATTGTAGCAGCAGCACATTCGCTAGATTTTTCGGTACCGCCACCACCGATTCCTTCAGTAGTAGTAAATCAGCCTTGGAGACCAACAACTTATACAGTACCTGCCATATCATCATCTGTTTTGATTCATCCTGCGGCTAATACCTATGACCCAACGCATTCCTCCACTACTCTTCCGCCGCATAATATCACCCAGGTTTGTCATCCTTATAATTTGTAATAAATATATTGTTTTGTTGGAATACAGCATCTCAACTGTGTTGCCAGTAATTTAATAAGGCTTGTTGCTTCATATATCACTAAAGAATCAATCTTGTTTTATACTTTATAGAAACTGGGAGTAGATATTTGTTTTTAGAATTGAAGCGCAGTGCTGTCAATTGAATGTTATTT